CTTGGGGGGTTTTGGGTTTTTTTTTTGTGGGGGGCTCAGGTGCCACCGAAGTCACCTGTCTGAGTGAGGAGTCCAAGGTGAAGAAGCCTCTCTGTGGGGCCTGGAGTGTAGGTGCTCAGAGAGGAGTCCCTAAATGTAAAGGACTCTTGGGACAATTGCTGAAGGCCTTTTTTGGTTGTCCCCTTCCTCTGCTGCCTGATTTTTTTTTTTTTGTTCACTTAGCCCTTGAGGCCAACTCTCTAAATCAGGAGGCCACTGTGATGAGTGCTCTGTGCGGCATCTTTGGTGTTGGTGGTTAGCTGGTAGCCACTGATTGTGATTCATTTGGTTGTAGTGGTTATAGGGGCTACCTAATCATAGAAAGATTAAAACTAATTGCATGTGGGAAGTGATTTTTCTCCTCCTGGCAATGAGTTTTTATCTTTCTTTGACTCAACAGTGACCCCCTGCCCCAACCATCACTAACCACGGAGCATTCAGAACATGGGGTTTGGAGATAATGGTGGTAATTAGTGGAGAGTCACTGACTCTGATGGACTGGGGTGGTTGATGAAATCTTTAGTTGATTTTTAACTGTCACTTCCCCCACACCTGTAGATAGTTTTAAGAGGGTGGTTTTTTCCCCCCACCTTAGTGGGCAATGTAACCAGTAGTCCAAGCAGGGAGTCCGAAGTGAGTTGGGCATACGAGTGAGACTAGGAAGGATGTGAGACTGATTTTGCAGTCTCCACTATTTTTAAATTTAAATTTTCTATGGGGATTACCTTGCTGGAATTTATTTTCATTCTTCTCTTTTTACTATAGGTTAAAATTTTTTTTTTAATCTGGTAAATTTCTTACTTTGAAGTGGAAGTGGAAAGAGCTAGGCTTGGCCATAACCTTTTACTTGGTCATACCAGGAACACTCTGTCTTATTCTGTCTCTGTCAGGATTATTTGCCTGACACTCCACTTCCACTCTTATGGGATCCTGCGAAATGTATGCTCTATTCTAGTTTTGCTTTTTTCCACTTTCTATTATTTTTTAAAGTCTTTCTTTATGTTCCTCATATTTGTAGATCGCAGTTGCATCCTAATATCCCATTACATGTATGACATTTACTAGGATTATTGGTGCTTTGATGTGTCTCATTTGTATCGTCACATAGGCACAAATTTAGTTAAGGGGTTCAAATGAACTCAGCGCACAACATCTAGATGTAAGGGGTATGTGTGGGTTGTTGTTTCGTCCATGCAGGCTATATGTGTCCACATGCATCTATCCAGATGTGGCTTGCAGAGAGGGAAGAATCAATATCTCTAGAGCAGGACTGTATAACCTGGGGCTATAAGCAGCCAAAAGCTTTGTGTCCGTCTGTGAAAAATGTAGAGGATGTTTTCCTCTGCATTTTTCATGGGCCTCCTGAAGTCCTTTGGTGTGCTGCAAGCAGCCCATGAGCTGTAAGTGGCCTGTGGTCTGCAGGTTGTGTAGGCCTGATCCAAAGTCTCCTTCCCCCACTTTATCTAAGGGAGACTGATTCCTCTGCAAGGGAAGTAGGAGGTAGGGCCAGGGGCTAACCACTCTCCTCTCCTTAGAGAAAGGGGGTACTGGGCTAGAATTACGTCTGTCTGCTCCCTTAAACATTTTTAGTGTGGGGGAAATAATTTTTAGATTTAAGCTACACTCCTAATCATTATTCTTTAACAGGGAAGGAGTTTACATATCCAAAGCTTGATTCTCTTTTACTAAATGTCAGTTCTAGAATGAACATACTATAGCAAAGAAATCCATTTATCCAAACAGATGGCAAACAGAAATCAGAGAAAGTTTACTTAAAAGAATCCACACCAGATAGTACAGAGTAGAGGACCTCTCCCATCAGGAGTGAGGTCATTTAGCTCAACCAAGAGGGAGAGTCCTAGATCTCACCCAAGTTCCCCAAAGTCTCTAGTGTACTAAGCTGGGGATAGGGACAAGATGGAGGTAGCTTTTTTCTTTTTTCTTCTGTTTTGTATCTCTACTTCCTAGCACACTGCCTGGAACATAGTGAAGAGAATCAAAGACTGTAGAACCTGTTCCCACTACAGAACTCTGGTTCTGTGCCTTGGGGATGGTCACCCCCACCTCCTAAATTAGAAATAATCAAAGAATTGTTGTACTGCAGAATTTGTGAGTTTGTTGTGGGAAACCACTCAGACCCTGGGAAATGATTGTAATCCACCTTCCCCTCTCCTTCCCCACCTGTGATTTATGTAGATAAGCTGTACTTTTACTTTAGCTTAAAGAGCATTCCTCACTCTGAATATAAGGTAACCACTACTCGATTACTGGCCCTCCTTTCCTTAGGCCTGCTTTGTGTGGCTCTGAGCATTCCCAAGTTAGAGACTGGCTCAGTAAAATCCTGTTACCAATAGGTTGCAGCATTCATAGAAGTTTCACAGTCCTCAGGTTCACTCCAGTGACCATGGAGTCTTCTTCCTACATGGTCCTCCTCCTTGGCACCCCTTTCCTCTTGGCTCCCATTCTTTTTCATTTTACCCCTTTAGAAGTCCAAATCAGAATAGGAAGCTACAAGCACAGAGGGCAACCCTTTTGTCCTGCCTTCCACAGAGAGGTTCAAATCTCATTTTGGGACAATCTCATTTCCAGTTGAAGGTTCCTCCAGAATCTGTTCAGTTTAACTCCTACTTTAAAGCCTTCCTGGTTCCAGAGAGATTCAAAAGGTGGCAGTTACACCTGAGACAAAGGTCCCCTGGGCACACATGAATGTAGCATGATTTATTTAACCATTACCTTGTTGTACATTTAGATTGCCTCCAGTTCACAATGAGAAATAGTGCTGTTTTGACTTTTCAGTTACATGGAATTACTACTACAGGTGGTACACAAGGTGGGAAGCTTTCCTTTGGCTTGGGGTGGGAAAAATACCAACCAACCTGATTCCTTCTTATAGTTCATCGGGAGGCAGGAGAGGGAAAAGCAGGAAATCCTTTCATCTTTAGAGAGAGGTGAATAATTTCCTGTTTTATGAAAGAGTGAACATGGGTGGCAGTATGAGAGGTGTGAGATACTATTGTTTTCAGTTAAAGCCCAAGTTTCAGTAAGATGGAGGAGGAGGGGCTGAGCAGTGGGAGATTTTAGGACAGGTTTGGTTTCTGGGGTGGGGCTGAAGTATGGGAAGTCCTCCAGGTTTGGGCCCCTGGCAGGGAGCCACTTTCATTTGGAAGGGAAAGGGCCAGTGGTGGAGCTGAGCTGTAGGGAATCTCCAATGCTTTCTGAAACACTCAGGACTGGATACAGTGACCTAAAGCTTTTCTGGGCTTTGCTGGTGGGGGTAGCAGTGTCCTTGGCCTCTGCCGTGGGAACATTCTCTCTAGGCTGGCTTGGGCCTACCCTTGGCTGGTGGTTCCAGAACTGATAGGTCAACATGTGAAGCACATGGTGGAGTTGGAGAAGGCTTTAGTGACTTGTGACCTCTTCATTTACACAGGCAGGAAAGTGTGAGGATAATGAATGGCCACTTCTAGGGTGTTGAGAATTATACATCTAGCCTGGAGGTGTCAGGGCAAAGTTCTGAGGCTGAAGCACAGTGGGGCTCCATAATCCTCAGCTGAAGTGCTTAATATTTTTTATTTTTGTGGGGAGAGATTGATAAGGGGGATCCTTTATCAATTTGTTGAGATTCCCCCAGTCAACTTAGTGAGATTATAGGGAATGGACCTTTGTCTGACATGCACTCCCAAGGAGGCAGACATATATCTTGATGACAGAACACAGGAAACTCTTTCTATTGGTTCTGAGAGTGAGAATGGAAGGACTTGTGTCAGAAGAGCTGACTTTTCCCTCATGATACATAAAAGTGAGCAAAGGCATAGCTCAAACCTTTTGGACCACTTTCTCTCCTTTAGACTTCCAGACCCAAATGCAGCAAGGAAGAGTAGCCAAAAAACTAGTTGGAGAAGAGATCTGGCCCTTACCAACCCCACTATTGTCATGAGTATGGGAGTTAGGGACCCCATTATTCATATTTGGGAAAACTTAGATATGAGCTACACCCAGGTTTTATTTTGGAGATTTCTGCAGATTAAAATTCTGGGGTGAAGGTATAACAAACAAAAGACAGAAATTAACTTTCTTGGACTCAGGGTACCAGGATTGGATCGGGTCTGTGTGAGCTTAGAGTCTTTGAGGACATGGATACCATTTTTTGTGTGTGTGTGTGTTTAAGGAAGATGGAGGGCTTATCTGAGATCGTTATGAACTGCAGGTTCATAATGTAATACATTTTACTTCTTGATCTAAAAACCCCGAGTAATAAACCCTAAATCTTATTTTCTCCTGAGTTTATTTTTCTTTGTAAGTTATCTCCCGCAGGCAATCAGTATGCTTGCTTGTTTTGAAAGGAAAGGTAGGCCTCTCTTGAAGGGAGGTGGGGAATGAATTGTTAGGCAAGCTACACCCACGTTAAGGGGTTGGAGGAAGATCCAGTTTAGTGGTTGTGCTCAGACAGACCTTCTGATTCAGGTGATGATTGACAGCTTAGCTTGCCTTGCTCACCAGGGACACCTAGTGGTCTAAATGTAGTTTTAAGGGTCCTCATTAGAGTCTATCATTCCAATATTTTAAACCATGTCTAAAACTCAAACTCCCCTTTTCTGACATCTTTTTAGCCAGATGTTCATTTCCAAAATCCACCATTCTCATTTAAAGCCCTTGTCTTCAATTGGCAGGAGTAATGAGGACACTACGTTTATAGCTAAGATCTTCATTTTCCTGCATAGGATTTCATAAGCCCTAACAATGCTTTTGAGGTTTCTTTTAGCAGTATAATTTGTCTCCACCCAAAACACCAGAAGTGGGTAGTGGTTATCATGTTTGACAAGTCTTGGGTCTCTCCATCAAGGCTTAGATAAATGCTGCAGGAAGAGAATTTTTATTATTAATATCTAATTGACAAATAGCCAACTCTGTACCATTCAGAAGGGATTTAGGATCCGCCACTACTTGCATCTTTACCTTACCATTTCTGGATGATCTCTCTGCTGAGGGTGCCAGTGAGTCAATATCCTTGTTACTTAGAACACAAAAATTTGCTTCTTCATGAAATGGTCTGGCTCTTCCCTCTGTGTAAAGAACCTCATGTCCGTTATGAAGCTCCCAATGTTCAGTGATCCTTCTTCCCTTCCTTCTCTTACAGAACCTTATTCTATAAATAAATTGGATACTGGGGTTTTCCTTTGCCTCGTTAAATTCCCTCCTTTGTTCTGTAAAACACTTTTTACTTTCTTTCAAGGAAGATATTTCCCCTGTAACCTTGAAAGAAAAAAATGCATTTCTTCAACTTTTCCCATCTTCTTTTCTAAGACAGAGACAAACTTACACTTTGGGCATTCATAGTTATTATTTGATACTGTCAGGAACACAAACACAGAGTACTCTTTGCATGTCACAGTAAAATTATCTTTATTCTCTAAAATTATCTAACAATCAAAGCAGTAATAGGCACTTGAGGGGGTAGGACAATGTGCCCTCTTTCCTTGTCTGCCAGGCTGTACTCCTTTGTACTTCACCATGCCCCAGAAATTTCTTCAACTTGAAATGTGACTTCTGTCAGATCCTGAAAGTAAAGCATTTAGCACAGTGTCTGGCACATAGCACGTGATATATATATATATATATATATATATATATAATATATATATATATATTATATATATATATATATTTTATTCATTCATTCATTCATTCATTCATTCATTCATTCATTTATTTATTTATTTGTTTATTTATTTATTTATTCCTAATTACTTTCCTCCCTGCATCCTGCCTCTAATTGCTAGATCCTAAAGGACAATATACACATTTATTTTTTTTATGTTGGTGATCTGGTTTTTCTAAAATGGTTATTAAGAGCCAAGGGATGCTTAAGTGTACCATATTTTTGCTTTCCCTGTCAAGCTTTTGGGATCAGCGGGAGCTTTCTTCTTACCCCATTGAGAAAGGGCTGCTTGTATTCATCTAACAATACTACAGGTACAGGATGCATGCTCCTGAATCTGCCAATTCAATCACCTGAGGCTCTGCTTCCTTCAGATCATCCTGAACTGATTTTGACAATGAATTTAACTGTGATTTCATTGTTAGGAACCCTTGATAACCACGCAAAGTATTCTGGGTCATGTATAACTTAGGTCAGCCATGAAATTCAGGCTTGTAGTTAGAAGGCAATAAAGCACCTGTAGGTCATAAAAGTACAATAAAACAACTTTACAGATGATAAGATTACAAAGGACACAATTCCTGGTTAAATTAAAACAAAATGTGATTCCCTTCTACCTCCATGTGTAGCATAGCAATTGGTTAGGAGAGCATCCCTGTAGGGCAATGGGAATTCTACTAAAACCTCTAGAGCAGTAATTTTTGGTAGGCTGGGGACAAAGAAACCAAACCAATAACTCAAGCCTTAGTTATCTCAAGCCAGCCAAATCCCAAGGATGGTCTGTCTCCCTGCCTCCTTAAAGGGAAACTAGCCCTAGTCTACATACAATAGATGCCACTCTTGCACCAGAAAGGATGGGATTAAGGAAAGATAAGGATTGACCTTGTTGAGAAGTGTCTCCTTCATTAGAGAATGAAGTAAAGCCAGAGAATGAAAGGGGATCAGGTGAAGAGGTTTTGAAATGGTAAGCCACTAGAGTATCTTTGTGCATGTGTGTATGTGTATGTGTGTGTGTGTGTGTGTGTGTGTGTGTATGTGGGTTTGTGTCTGTTTTAAGGCAATTGGAATTAAGTGACTCGCCCAGGGTCACACAGCTAGTAAGTGTAAAGTGTTTGGTCTGAGGCCAGATTTGAACTCAGGTCCTCCTGACTTCAGGGCCGGTGCTCTATCCACTGTGCCACCTACCTGCCCCCTCTGATTCCAATTTCTTTAGGAGGATCAGATGCTATTGAGAATTCAATCCTATACATGAAAATGTGAGTAACAGTACTCTTGTAGGTAAAGGCTTTCCACCCCTGGTTCAATAGTCACACAAATGAATCTACTTATAAGGGGCTGACTGTACTCCAATTATAATAAAAGACCTGCAAGGATTCTTAAGTAATCAGATTCAAAACAGTGCATATCAAATAAGTTGTTTATAATAAGACATGTTGGTACCATAGGACACACAATACAAACAGGTGTTATTTCCACATTAGTAATAAACTTGAATGAAATTGACTTTTCCATTAATGTAACACAAAATATTCCGTAAGTTACATCTCTCTAAGAAACTGATTACACTAAAATTCCTTCCCCAAATCAAATTGAAGATGTTTCTAATTTAGTTTCAATAATTAATAGATTAATAGCTAGATCCCACAAACAGTTTGAAACATTTAAGGACCTTGTTTCATACACACACACACACAAACACACACACACACACACGCGTATATATACATACATACATACACATATACACACATACATATATGTGTGCACATATGTGTACATATGTATGTATGTGTGTGTATATGTATGTGTGTATATACACATACACATATATACATATGCACATACATACATACATACATACATATATTTATATATATATATAAAACATGTAGATGACTAGGCCAGATACTCATTTACAAAATTGTTTAGGGTATAGAAAGGACTATAATTCTAGGCTGAATGGTTCAGATTGAAAACAGCAACATCTCACATGCTTGCATTGTGCCCATGTCTTCTATTGACCACTTGCTCAGATTACAGAAATTTGCTATATAAGGAAAAAGCATGAAAATGATTATAATGTGGCAGGATAAAACATCCTTATCTCTGACTTCAGATAAGAATCATAGTTGACAACCATCCATGAAGTAACAATTCTACCTTGTAGCCAGACTCAGGAATAGCTAGGTGGGAAACATTCCTGTTCAAAATGAACACAATGGGGAAACTGAGCCAGAGGGCTCCTATCTTCGGCTGAGCCAAAGGTTATCTTCTTAGCTTTTTCCCAGGTACAAGATTCCACCTACAACAGTTCAGGATCACATTCCTTCTGAGCAGCTTCTGGCATTTCTCTCAAATGGTGGATTACTGACTTAATGATCCATCAGACAATTCTACCTGAATTCATACCTCAAAACAAGATCAGTTACAGTCCTAAGAGCTTTTACCTCAAATAGCAAGTTTCACCAATCACAACTTAGGGTTGGATATAGTTATTTTTCCTCTCATGGAGTTGCAATGAGTAATAAAAGTTTACCAGGACTCAAATACATACAGGAGATTTTACTTAATGTTCTTCACTTGTTTTTCTTTTCTTTTCAAGTTTAAATTTGTCTTGGTATTAGGACCAATTATTAGAAATCATTTCTATATTATACACACACTGGTAAATTTTCAGTAAACCAGATTCATTGTTTAGGAACTTTATAATCCAAACAAACTCTTTTCCCAGGACTGATGACCTTGCCCACACAGATGGTTTCCAAGAACCTGGCAAGTTTACAAAATAAGGGGAATTGCCAGGGACTCCAGAGAAGGTGCTGAACCTGATACCCATGTCTGCCTACCCCATCTACCCTTAGGGCTGTTATAGGCTGTGCTCTTTGACACCCTACCTCATGTAAGGTGGAAGAGACTGAACCCCCCTCACTCCAAGGTGGACAGCTCTGAATGGACAGAACCAATCTGGGTAAGGCTTTTGCCTCATTCCCTCCCATTCAGTGACCAATTTTAGGTTTTAACATTATGACAACAACCCTGAATAATTTAGTCAACAATCTTACAACTTTCATAAGTGATAGCCAAGTGACTGTAGATGTAACTTCCTCTTAACTGCAGGCAAAGGTGGAAATGTACAGTTCCCTAAATGGCAGTTACAAAACACTATAAAACAAACAGGGTTAGCAGGGCTGATAAAATAAACATAACTGATTTTAAACCATTTTCCCACTGTCTTTTACTTTTTCAGATCATACTCTAAGAACATTCAAGTAACTGGATGACAAGCCAAATCTGGGTTCTACTATCTCAGAAAGAACCCATTACTTATCAATTTACTCCTAGCTCTTCATAATTTTTCCTATATTGACTTTCAAATCAAGTTACAAAGTTTTAATGCTCAATCTTTCACTTAAACAAAGTGAAACCTGCTCTTAACATGCTTAAACCTTCTGTCCATTTTTATATCTGTTTCTGATGGTTTAAAAACCCAAACCTTCTTATGCCTTTCATTTTCCCCTCAAGCCTTTATTTCTCTTTCCAAACCTTCCAAACCAATTACTCAGACTATACAACTTTCCTTTACTCAAATCTTACATTTCAACTCCAATTCAAACTATATTCACTCCATTGAACATTTCCTTTGATAATTTTAGCACATATTGTTGTTAAACCAATCCAATGACTTATTGAAACCTCACTTTTCTAGCTGTATAGTTAATTTAAACTCAAGTGACTCTTTTACTAATTTACCTATCATACTATAATTCTTTCTCTCAATTTGTCACAATAGAAAAAAATTTAGAAACATAACAAACCATAAACAATGTTATGCATTTGAAAGTTGAAACAAACCCATTATCAATCAGGTGACTCCAATCCTAGTGAATGCATTTCCAAATTACTTTATACAGAAAATCAGGCATCTCATCACCATTGGCATTGTATACTGATCATATCTAAAATCCTACATAAAGTTATAAAGTATGAAGCAATTACACCTACTTAAGGAAATAATAATAACAGTTAATATTTATAGTGTCTGCCCTCTGCCAGATATTGCGTTAAGCACTTTGCAATCATGTGAAGTAAACTGAGGCAAATAGATGTGAGATAAATTGCTTAAGGTCACCCAGTCAACAAATTTCAGATCCATGCATTTTCCCAGTTTGTCTTAATGCCAAATCACATAATAAATTTTGACTGATCTTAATCATCAAATTAGGAGAGACACATTTCACTTGAAATGTGACCAGAATGAATTCCATCACCTTTTGGTTGTGTCCTAGTACACACACACACAAACAACTTTCCCCTTTTTCATGAGCCAGGAAAGGGTTAAGTACCAGTCCAATTCCAGAGTGCAAGCTTTGAAACTTCACTGACCCAGCCCTCAAACCTGTCTCTCTATAATCTGAAATGACCTTCTTCTCTGGCTGTAAAACAATAAACCAGTCATTCCAGAGGTGGGATGGTGGGGTGATAGAAAGAACCTGACCGCAGTTTCAGGAATGTGAAGGAAGAGAACAAAATCTTTCTAAAAATATAAATTAGATAATAAGACACAGAGAGGCACATAAGCACAGATACAAGAAACACAAACAGATAAACAACTTTGTTTTTCGAAAGTTTCCAAACTGTTTCATCTCAAATCCTCTGTTCACACTGTGCAAACAGATTATGACTTTCTTTCTGCCCATGCTCCTCTCATTCCTACATGCTTAAACTTTCTTGCTTTTCCTTCTATATTCGTATACCTCTAGTCAGCTTTGATAAAAGCCTCTTTAAAAATCATATGTCTTGTTTCTTTCCTATTCTGATCTGATGCTTCTCTTACTTCTACTTGCTTTTACCAATCATACCTTAAATAATCGTCACTTTACTGAATATATTTTTCTTTCATTCTCTCTCTCTCTCTCTCTCTCTCTCTCTCTCTTCTCTCTCTCTCCCTCTCTCTCTCTCTCTCTCTCTCTCTCTCTCTCTCTCTCTCTCTCTCTTTCTCTCTCTCACTCTCTCTCTTGTCCACCCACCCCTCTGAGGCTGCTGCAGTCTGGGAGGAAGGGAGAGAGGGAGAGAAAGAAAAAGAAACCCTATCTTCTATACCATCCTCTGAATCCTCCCCAGTATGGCTGTCTTCCCAGGAGTCCCCCCTTTATTGCTTTCTTGTCTACATGCTTAACTCCCTTCAACTGGCAAGTATGTTTCTACATACGTCTTCATTATTCTCTGGTTTCCTCTTTCCAGGTCAAGTCCACCTAGTGGTGGCTTCCTTCAATGCTGTGAGAAAGAGCCATCCCATATCAACCATCACCCTTTTCCCTTCCTTACCCAGTCTGATGGGCCAAAGTTCCACCAGAGGGGTCTCTAGGCTTTTCCAAATTTTCAGGGCATCCCTGTTATCATGTGGGGGCCTATATGTGTCTCGCACATGGGCCATTCCACCCCATGTGAAGGTCAAAGGCCATCCAGGGATTTCCCCTTGCTGAGCCTCTACTCCCTTTCGGAATCCTGCCGACTATATCAATTGTAAGGTCCAGAATTCCCCTGGCTAGGGAACTCCGTACCTCCCTAAAACAGAAGGATGAGTTTGATACAGAAGGAAGAGGTTGGGAGCTCCAGAATGATTATATAAGAAGTTTAATAATCACGTGGATACTTACGCACATACACTCACCCCCACCCATACACCCCCACTCCCCCACATCCCCCCCCCAGACACATACACACACATACACAGACACACACACAGAGGAAATGTTGGATCCCTGCAAAGACCCCCAAAAAGCCCCATGGTAATTATAGGAATAAACAAAGGGAGGAGGAGCTATAGAGCTTTGTTACATATGTCACCGAGGTTTAGCCAATGTTTTGATTTACTGCTTAGTACTGGCCCTGATTCCCAGAAACCCAGGCAACAAGGCCAATGCTATTGGGTAGACATCCAGACCCACAAGGTCTGGTCACTGTGGCCTTGTTATGGCTTTCACCAATCAGGACCCTACAATATGGAGCAAAGGTTTGGGGGCATTGGGGAGAAAGAGATGACTAGTAAAAGTACTGCCTAGAGAAATTTAGGACCTGGTGAGATTAGATAATAAATGTGTAGTGGACTTAAGTGGCATGACTTTCTCGAGAACAATTTAGACTCAGCTGCAACCCAGGAGGTGGATGGGGAGAGTTATCCAGTGTTGGGGTTTGGCAAGGCATGAATGGACATAGGACAAGGGACTTGAGAGAAATGAACAAGATGAAGTCTTCTCCATTCTAGACCTTCTTTCTGCTACCCCACCTTAAGCAGGTAAGTCTTAGGAAGAGTTAGTGACATAATTTAAGAGGTACTGAAAGGCCTTCTGAAAAAAAAAAAACCAACCTCTGCATCCTATTGGTTGTCTGAAATTTCCATCATGAATATTATGCCTTGAGGTCCTTCTGCAATAACCAAATCTTATTCACCCTTTAAAGTCCTGCTTATGTTCTTTCTTCATTATGCTTTTAATTGACCTTGGTCCCTTTACTGATTTTCTGGGACACTTAAGATCTATGTGGTTGCATAGTGGATACAGTACTGGGCCTGGAGTCCAGAAGACCTGAGTTCAAATTTGGCCTAGCTGTGTGACCCTGGGCAAGTCACTAGACCCTGTTTGCTCCAGTTTCCTCATCTGTAAAAATAAGTTGGAGAAGGAAATGGCAAGCTGCTGCAGTATCTTTGCTAAGAATACCCTAAAAAAGGGTCGCAAAGAAATTGGACACTGAAATCAATTAACAACGACTGTTTCCTGACTTTCTGTTACTGCTCATTTAGGTATATTTATTTATAAATAATTATTAATATATATTTATAAACAGTTATTTACATGTGTTCATTTATAAATATACTTATAAATAAGTATTGATACGTACATATTTATTTATAAATATATTTATAAACCCATATTTATTGTCTTGTTTCATGTTGATATGTACTTTCTCTCTAATTGGACTATGACCTCCTGGGGGGCAAAAATATGGTTATATTAATTTTTATTTCCCATAGTACAATGTTCTGAATGATGTAGATGTTCAATACATTCCTACTGAAATAAATTTTAGTTCGATTAATGAGCGATGCCATTAATAATACTAATACTAATAACATTTACATGGCCCTTTAAGCTGGTGAAGGAGAAGGAAGATTATAAGGTCACTCAGCATGGTTTACAAAGTGCTTTGCATATGTTATCTTATTTGAACCTCACAACAATGTATTATTATTATCCTCATTTTATAGGAAAGGAAACTGAAGCTGACTCTTCCGGAATCACACAGCTAGTGTCTGACGCTGGATTTGGGCTCAGGTCCTCCTGCCTCCAGGCCCAGTGTTCTATCCACTGCACCATGTAACTGCCACATTTATATAATAAACAACCAATCAAATTGTGTGGTAAACAATTTAGGATTACCCCTAGTTAGAATGACACGAAACACACTGGAAATCGTCACCATTAACCTGTTCCTAGGGCACAAGTGGGACTAGCTCCTGCATTCCTTACTTCTTCCCACTGGAGACTTGAGCAGCCCATGATCATTTGAGGGCAGCACTGATTGGTGGAGACTTACCAGATGACTACCTAGGAGGGAGACATAGTTTTTGGTTGGAAAGAGAGGGAACCTTGTGAGTCCAGCATACAAGGATCTTAACGGAACTGGTATGACTCAGGTCGCGACTTTGTTCTTAGAAGATGATGTTTATACCATTTGCATATTCTGACTATAAAGATTAATTACATGCATTGAGAGGTATAAGTCTAATTAGTGTTTTCATTGCACTAGGTAGCACATGTAACAGTAGATCCCATGCAAATCATGTCACATTTAATGTACATGGTCAGGCCCTACCACTAGCATCTCCTCCCTTAAGGTTATGGATTATATCATTTCTGTTTTTGTATTCCATAGCTAAGCAAATAGTAGGTACTTACGTTATGTTTTTATTTGAAATGCATTTGTTTTGTTGCATAGGTTAATTCATTACCACCCACTTACAGCAGAAAGTTGGACCCTGGGAGTGTGAGAGGCAAGTGCAGAAGGTGGGGGTCCTGTTGAAGTGCCTGGTGGCAGCCCTGGATTCTTGAAAGCAAATACACAAATGTGTTCATTATTCCATATTAATGATTCCATTGCTGGCTTCCACAGCTTTGCCCAGGGATAGCCCTCATCCTTCAGGATAGCCTGGATTGAAAATCTCCTTTTCTCCTCCGTAGAACCCAAGTCCTTCTCAGGTCTATCCCTTTTTTTTTTTTTGTTGCTCAGTCATTTCACTTGTGTCCAACTCTTTGTGACCCCATTTGGGGTTTTCTTGGCAAAGATACTGGAGTGGATTGCTATTTCCTTCTTCAGCTAATTTTACAAATGAGGGAACTGAGGCAAAGTTAAATGACTTGTCAAGGGTCACACAGATAGAAAGTGTGTGAGGCTAGATTCGAACTCAGGAATATTAGTTTTCCTGACTCCAGGCCCAGCACTCTATTCACTGCTCATCCTAGTGGACCAGATCTATCCCTTTGGGGCACTAACAATAGAGTTTGAGTATAATGGCAGAAAGGGACCACTCTTCTTGGCAAAAGGTTCTGTACTTGGGGAAGAGGAGAAAGGGAAGGAGATCACGTGATCTACAGTACAAAGGTATTTTAGAGTTGACCTGGTCCAACCCTCTTACTTTACAGAAGAGCTGGAGCCTAGACTGCAGGTGACTTGTTCAAAGTCATATAGGTAGTAAGTGGAAGAGTCAATACTGGAGCACAGATTCCTAACTCTACATTCAGTGCTGTTTGTAATTACACCAATGTTAACCAAAAATCACTTCATAAAATATGGGCAGTAATTTATTACAAGAGAAAGGCCCATGCACATGCCAAGTTTGAAGGAGTTTGCAATCTAGACAGCAACTTGAATATTATGAGTTACAAAGAAGGGAAAGTCTCATGGAAGGAATGGAGGGCAATCCCTTCCCAAATGGGAGTGGCATGGGAGGAGGAGCAAGAGGGAGCAGGAGGGCTTGGGAACATGGGACCATGGAGGAAGGGGGCTCTGCTTAACTGGAAGGGTGCCAGCTGCATCAACAGTTTATCAACATCAACAATCTGGTGCAGACTGACTGGTGCCTGTCTTGTAGATGGTGGGATCCTCAGGGACACACTAATTGTCCGGCTCTGAAAAATATGATGACTCAAAGAAGACAGGTTAAGTCAGCTTCAGTGCAACACCAAGTAGTTCCTCCTTTATTCCTGTTTTGTCTCTTACTAACCCCATCCTGTGGCTCACTTTGCATATACTGAAGAAGTCACTGCCTTGGGTAGTGGGGCTGAGTGTTATGGTAAGGGTTAATCCATTCTGAACTGTTCTGTCTAGACAAATGTGCTAAGGGAATCTTAGTGGGTGGGGGAATCTCCCTTGAGTCTGATTTATTCTGAGGATGAAGATTTTTTTTTTTTGGCTAGGTCCCAGAACATTTACAACTTAGATGGCTGTGTGGGTGGGAGGCAAAAGGTTTTGGTGGTGTGGTATGGTTGAGGAGGAGGTTAAGGATGAAGGGGCAGGAAAAAAGAGCAAGGCTCATTTCCAAGTCCAGTTCCTTCCCTGGTATACTTTTGCTTGACTAACTGCTCTCTACCCTTCCAAAAAACTTGCTAGGTTATTCCCTCAACTATCTCCTTGGCCTCAGTTGTAGCTATAATCAGCTGTGTTATTGCTCTCACTTAATGGTAACATTCTCCACCCCTAGCCAGAGCCCTAGACTCTTCTAACGCATTATTTACAGCTCTGTGGTCCTTCCTTCTCCATAAACACTTGAGAAGTTTCAAGGGGTTGGGGCCCTTCCATTCCTTTGGGTCTAATTCCACCTCCCTTCAGAGTTTGGAAAAGTCCTTTGGAGGAAACAAGAGGGCAGGGGAAAAGAAAGGGGCTGGGGAAGAAGGAAGGACCCAGGGCTGCAGTCATTGTTTCATTATCAGATTTTTGGCGAAGTAAGGAGGATAAGCAGGGAACTCCCAGAAATTGTGGGAAGAGGCAGGATGGGAAGAAATTGTGGGAAGAGCTCACTTTATTATTGTTTGGAGTGGGACTGAGCAGTGACATCAGGATATATGTATGTATAAAGAGGAATAATAGGTTATTTCAGAACCAGCTAGCTCAGCTGAGGTTCAAGCTTCACAGGACCCTGCCACCATGGCAGGGGATGCAACGTTCAACTCTCCATGAAGTGGTTTCTTCTCATCTACATCCTGAATGCAGAGGAGACAAGAAGGTTAGAGGTTAGAACCATATAGGGGGAGGTCTAAGGGGAAGGTTCTTTGTCTACAAGTAAGCCTGGTTCTAGGGTTCTCCAGATCCAAACAACCCCCTGCCACTGCACCCAGAGTGAACCCAAATATTTAGGATGGCATTGGGATATGCAATTCCTCACTCCCTCCTCTGATCCTTCGGACTGATGCTTAACTAGGGTCCAGACTAATTAACAGAGCATCTCTAGAACGAGGTAATGAAGAGAAAACCCTGCTCCCACTCATCTGATGAACATAGTTTGAATGTGAGTTTAGATGGGCTGTGTCCCTCCTCAGAATTTTCCCTTCTACTGCTGCTATCCTCCCACTCCTTGGGCCCCCACCCTGGGATCTTACCTCTTCAGGTAGCACGTTGCTCTGGCAGCAGAAGCATAGGTACACCAGGGTAAACCCTGTAGGAACCAGTGTCACCACCAGCAGTGTGATCCAGACTAGTAGTGCCATGATCGTAATTCCTTTACTCAGGCTCTGGTGATAGAGTGCAGAGGTGGTTCTAACTCTGTTAGTGCTGTGAGAGATGATCTCTCAGAAGTGAAGCCTCCTCAAAGGGTCATTAATTCTTGTCAATGGTTCTGGTATTGTTGCTTTTGAGTGGTACATGTGTACCAACACTAAGTGAAGACCCCTCAGAATATAAGGACCCCCTCCCCTAGCCTTCTCCCTCCCCTACTCTTAGATAGTGTTGGCAGAAATTCCTGAGCCATGAGTATCCTGTCTATCTCATCCTCTAGCTAGTTATATGACCTTGGGTAAAAGGCTGTTGAAACTGTGAGGCCCTGAAAAGGGGAACACGCTAACACAATTTCTATACCACTTTGTTCTCTCTGTTACTGGGGTAGTTTTTACACGAATAGATTGTACACCTGAGGCTCAGCCAATGAGCCGATGGGAAGGGGGTTAGGGTGGGCTGCTGCGTTAGGGTCTATGTAATCTTGCCTTAAACAAAGAGCACCCGCACTCTTGGAGCAGCTTAGGCAGCACGGCAGCGCTCGAGAAAGTCAATAAAGAGATTCCTCCTTTTTGCAAACTTTTGTCAAGACTCTGGTTTTTAATTTGGGTAGGTGGTCTCTGTCCCACACAGTGCCACTATGCTTTCTTAATCTGTCTCCATTCTCACTGGTTTCATCATTTCTACAAATATGGTGCCCGTCCACTTTGCCCTATCACCACTGTCAACAGTATGGTATGATGGAAGGAACATTGGATGCAGAGATTCCGAGACTTCAGTTTTGGTTCTGCTGTTAACTAGCTATGTAACTTTGGGCAAATCACTTTACTTTCCCCTCAGGACAGCAGTTTACTGACCTGTGACATGGAAGGTGATAAGCTTCCTTCCAGTTCTAAAGCTCCCTTATTTGATGCCCTTCCTATTTTACATAGCTGCTTTGAAGAATGACTGATTATGTATTATCCTGACTTTTTACTTACTAGCTGTGTGATCCTGGGCAAGTCTCCTCACCTCTCTGAGCCTCAGTTTCCTCATCTGTAAAATGAGGATAAAAGTATTTGCACCACCTATCTCACAGGGTTGTTATGAGGAATGTGCTCTTGACCATTTATACTGAGGGGAAGTGGACTGGCACCAGGTACTTCTCCCTGTACCTAGGCTGGGCCAGAGCTTAGGTTCCTGCTCAAGAACTCTCATGAAAAGATCAAGCTTCTTTCCAGCAGGAGACTTCAACCTGCCCTCCACTCTTACCATCCTGAACCAGCACTCTATCCATAGCACTCTTCGTACTCCACCATCAGGTTCCCGTATGACCTAGGTCTTGTCACAGATTTCTTTTTAGAAAGATAAAAATTGCTTGGCAATGGCCCTTTAAATTTGTCCTGGGGGTAAATTCCCCATCCCTGTGCAACTTCTCATCCTGGAACAAAGCTTAGGCTCCCATGGTCTAGCTATAGTTCTGATTATCCATCATCCTTCCTCATTCCTCCCATCATACTAAAAATGCATGCTCACCCGCAACATGTTCATGTAATCCAAGCACTGGCTTTTCTTCCAGGCTTCCTGTGGTTCTGGAGTGTTATAGGCCCGAGTGGGCCAAAAGCTTTCTTTATCACATACACTCTCAATGTAGTAGAATGAGTGTTGTAGCTCTTGAGCACAGATAGCAATGGCAGCAATGGAAGTAGAAATAGTTGCCAGAATGAATAGGTTTTTCAGGAAGCTCTGTGGATGAGAGAAGACAGGGGACATCCCTGCTTAGGGCTTTGCCTAGGGGTGGGGAACCTGTGGCCTCAAGGCCACATGTGGCTCTCTAGGTCCTCAAGTGCAGCCCTTTGAATCCAAACTTTACACATAACAAATCCCCTTAATAAAAAAGATTTGTTGCGTAAAACTTGGACTCAGTCAAGAGGCCACATTCAGGGATCTAGAAGGCCACAGTTTCTCCACCCTGGCTTAGTTTTTTTCTTCCTATTTTTATAGCTCACCAAGGTCTCTGCAAGTCATAGGCAAAGGTTTGTGAAGATGATCTATGAAGAGGGCATGGGACAGCTTAAGGCTCACCTTTGACTAGGAGTATGGGGAAGGGTACCAAGCCAAGAGTGGAACAGATGAGCCTAGAGTAGCACAGACAGTTTGCTCATCATACCTCTCATTGTACTTACCCACCACGTACCTCTCCACTTCTCTTGAATGATGGCAACAACTCCAGCTGAAATAGCCTGGAGAGGATAAGGTGGTATAAAAACCAAATTTCCCTTCTATCATCTTCTACCATAACTCTTCTTGAACTACCTCCTTTCCCCCTCCCCAATTTCTCCCTCTCCTCTTCCTGCCCCGTGTATACAACTTGCCACAAGAGGGCTATTGAATGTGGGGTTTGGCTTCTGTTCTACATAAAGAAAAAGCTTAGCCTGCCATGACATTTGATAAGTATGGAAGAGGTCTGTGTGGGCCTTACTGCCCTACAAGAAATTTGGGGCCAAATACTATTTTTCTTCAAAGTTATATACATGAAGCCTTTCCTGACCACCCCAACCCACAGTGATCTCTCCTTCCTGTAGCACTGACAGTCTATGCTATTTATGCAATTCCTTGACTTGTTGCTTACCTTTTCATTCGTTCATTTAGCACACTCATTGAACATTAAAACAAAGATGAATAAATCATGGTTTCTGCTCTATTGTAGCTTATTATCTAGCATATATCCTATTTCCCCAGCTAGATAGTAAACTCCTTGAGGACAGGTACTGTATCTTTTATTTATTTGTATCTTTTACGATATCTAGCACAGAACTAGACACATTCTAGATACTAAAAAGTGTTGTTAATAATGATGATTAGGCCCTTCCTCTGTGAGATTCATTCGTCTCCCTTCTCCCTCCCTTCTTCCCTCCCTACTGTACTCACCACAGCTCCAGTCCAGAAAGCAGCTCCAGAATACCTTAATTGGTAGAAGGAGCCAATGTAGAAGAAGACTCCTAGGGCCCCACTCGTGGCTCCCAATATTATCTGTGCAGTCTGTGAGACAAAGACATCCCATCCCCACAATCAACCTTCACATACCTCACATTTTAAGAAATTAATATCTTGCTTCCAATAGCCAGGCTAAGAGAAGGGCTGAGGTTGGATGGGTGCTGAGGTAGTGGTTGCCTAAGGTGTAAGGGTAGGTAGGAATTTATAAGGGAGAGGCAGAACTGTTTATAATGTAACATCAGTTTCAACAACTTCTCTCACGGAGACTATAGGTATTGTTACTTTAAGAAACAACAGAATCTTGGACAGTTATAGTTTAACTCTCATTCTTTGAGGAGTCTGTGGGGAGGCTAAGAGTTTAACTATCATTCTGGAGAGAGTTTTAGCTGTTGTGGTTTGAAAAAAAAATGAGAGAACCAAAAGAAAGGACTAGGAGAACTTCTTTCCTGAGAGAACTGTTTTTAACTCTTATCTCGTGAAGAAACATGAAGAAAATTCTTGAGAAGAGATTTTAATTGGCATCCTGAGAAAACTGAATGGTGTGACCTTTTCCAGAACTGAGAAGATGTCAGTAGTTGTAGTGAGGTTACAGCTCTAGCCTCTAGGTGCCTAGAAGTCTTTGGCTGTGATTTTTCTCACAACTGATACTTTGCAAATAATTATTCTTCTTTGTTTTATTGTTTGCTATACTGTTAATGAATTGTATAGCCAATAGCCTTTATATTTAAGCTTAAGAAATTATGCACTTGATAAATAAAAGGAGAGATGAGTAGAAGCTTATGTGGAAAAAGCTTCCTTAGTTTACTTAATAAGCTAGAGTCAAGGCTCAAAGCTGATTGATTAATTGATGAGAGGGGTGTTGGAATTTTGTGATTAATGGGGAAATATCAGAATATATCCCTTGATTATCCTGGAATCTGAAATAACAATGAAGAAGGAAAATGCTCCAGTACCAGGTTGAGAAAAGGGGTGGCTCCCCAACGTAGGATGCACATAGGAGGGTCAACCCAAATCCTGCTAAAATATGTCATGATAATGCCTTGTGCCCATCATTTGGTCAGGTAGATGGTGGTTGGGCAGTAACCCAGAAAGGCAGCTAGTGGGTAGAAACAGCTGCTGCTGATAGTTGGTGATAAGAAAGTTTCAGGCGCGCTCTCTCTCTCTCTCTCTCTCTCTCTCTCTCTCTCTCTCTCTCTCTCGCTCTCTGTCTCTCTCTCTGTCTCTCTGTCTCTCTCTCTGTCTCTCTGTCTCTCTGTCTCTGTCTCTCTCTCTCTCTCTCTCTCTCTCTCTCTCTCTGTCTGTCTGTCTCTCTCTCTCTCCCTCCCTCTCCCTGCTTCTCTCTCTCTCACACACATAACAGTGTACCACTCTTTCTCAGCTGCTGAAGCAAAGTAGATGTGCCTTTAATGGTCTGTTGATTCAGACTGTATTCAAACTTCAAGCTACACCACAATAATAAGCCTGCTCTTATGTTAATTTTAACCTGATATCACCTGTGTAAAAATATTGGCTGAGGGATGGAGATGAGGAAGATAGTCACCACCTACTCACTGGGGAGTGAATTGAGCATATGTGGACTCTGGATAAAGCTGATTCCTTGTGAGGGATATTGGTAATAATCTAATCTGGAAATTCCGTTTGTGACTAGAGTTGGGTACAGAATGAAACCAGGGAAAGGGGAATTAGTATTCAATTAAGTTAAACTCATTTTAATTAAACAAAAACCTGTTAAGCACCTATTATGTGTAATATATAAGGGGAGGGGGAGGAGAAACAACCTTTAAAGACAGTAGTACCTCTTCCTGAATGGAGCTTGGAAATTGGTAGGATGACCCAGTGGTCACATTATCAATTTTGTTTTTCATTAAGGCTAAGCTACTCTTCCCCAAGTTTGAGAAGTTTTCTAATTGAGGGTAGTTTTCTATCTAATATCTTATTTTATGGCTTTGTAAGATTTAAACAAAGTAAATATAGCATGCATTATTATGTCTATCTTACAGAAGAGGACCTGAAGTCCTAGATGACTTGTCCAATGTCAGACAGACTAGTTTCCTGGCATATGGCTCAATGATTTTCCACTCCATCATATTGCTATTCTTGGGGAGCAGAATAGTGGTAGAGAATATGTAGCTTGGTCAGACCCTCACCTTTATATATGGTTAGCCCCTTTGGATTCCCATTCTTTGGTACCTCCAAAAAGGGCTATGGATATTTTGTACATCTTTAGAGTTTGTTTTGTTTATGTTCATCTTCCATATTCCACCATCTGTGTATGGATGTATTCTATGGTTCCAATCTAGATCCTTTCCTCTTCTCTCTGTAACTCTGTTCTTGGTGCTTTTATCTGCTTTTGTCAATTCAACTCTTCATCTCTATGTAGTTGCCTACCAGTTCTAGATATCCAGCCATCTTCTCTCTCCTGAGTTCTGGAACCACACCTCAAACTTTCTGACATCCCCACCAGGATGTTTTGCAGGCATCTCAAAATCAACATATCCAAAGCTGAATCCATTATGTTCTTTATTGTGAGTTGTCTTCAAGTAATCATAATGTCCCTTTAATGCTGCCACACTTTTCTCTAAACCAAAGGCCCATCTTTTAAACACCCACATTCTATAGATATTTTTCTATGGCAGTGAGTCATAGAAGTCTGTGGTCCCTAGGCAGCTAGGTGGTACAGTGGATAGAGCACTGGGCCTGAAGACCTGAGTTCAAATCTAGAATGACCCTGGGCAAGTCACTTAACTTTATAGTCTGCCTCAGTTTCCTCAGCTGTAAAATGGTGAATAGCACCTACCTCTCAAGATTGTTGTAGGATCAAATGAGATATTTGTAAAGTGCTTAGCATAGTACTTGGCACATAGTAGGCACTTAATAAATGCTCATTCCCTTCCCCCTTTGCCCTTAAAAGTCTCATTTTGTAATCTTGATCCTGTGAGAGCTGGAGTCTCCAAAGAATTGAAAATGAGTATCACTCTATGAGCTCTGTCAGTAGGTACATAGTAAGGTCAGTAGGCTGCCTGCCACATACGTTATTGTTGTTCAGTTGTTTCAGGTAAATCTGACTCTTTGTGACCCCATTTGGGGTTTTCTTGGCAAAGATACTTGAGTGGTTTGCAATTTCCTTCTGCAACTCACTTTGCAGATGAGAAAACTGAGGTAAACAGGGTAAAGTGACTTGCTTAGGATCACACAGTATCTGAGGCTGGATTTGAATTCAGGTCTTCCTGACTCCAGGCCCAGCGCTCTATCCACTTCAACACCTAGCTGCCAGCCCCACACTTAATGAACAAGGAATTAAGATGGTGAGGTAGAGTAGAGGATGTCATTGAAGAATGTAAAAGTGTAAGAGGCCAGACACCTGATGGATAACTTGTCTGCTCCTTTAGTATCTTTCCAATGTCAAGAGAAATTAAGGAAAACCCTCTCACATTGATTGGATACCCTTTATCAAATTCATTGGAAGTCATGGATAAGAGTTGACTGGGATGAGAAGGCATGAATTGGTTGTATTCTGCACTGAAGGAAGGAGGACCCAAACTGATGAGATTACATTCATTTAAGTTCCCCATTCTCAATATAAAATTTAGATGAGTTTCATCTAAATGTCTCAGTTATTAAATGTCTCTTCTGAATCTAAGAAACAAGACCTAAACTATTTTTTTTTACTTACTTGGGGCCTCAGATGGATTGTTTTCTGTGATTTAATGTTCTCCAGTTTAAAAGAAAAAGTTTTACCACCTTGTTACAGAGTATGAAAAAGACAGCAAAACAGAAATGTAGCTCATGAGAGAATAAATTTAACCCCAATGAAATCTCCTTCAAAGTATATCTCTTTAGAAATTGTGCATGTTTTACTTCATCAGGAGAAAATGCTGAAAAATAACAGTAGTACCAACTTGAATTTCAATAACACACTTATTCCTGGTAAGGAAGAAAAGAAGGCCATATCTTTCTTTGCCTGGACATTGAGTCCTCTTGTTCATGTTGAATTTTGCTCCTACTTGAAAGCTGTTTCACTTACCCAGGTTGCCAACTGTAGTCGACTCTTTCTTGCACTCAACTCAAGAGTGCCAGCAGGCTTAACAAAGAATTTCAACAGGGATTTCCCAGCATTGAGAAGCTCAGGCAAAGCTGACTCCTGGTGGATGTGGATATTAACGTGAACTGGCTGGGAGGTTTCAGCTGCTTCCAACCCATCTATCTTAACTCCATTCACCTTCACCTCATTGGGGACCATCTTGCAGGCCTAGGAGAAAGTGAGATTAAGAGAGCAGGGCTTATGGTGAAAGTTTCCTTTAACCTGACTCCCTTTATAATGGGATGATCTGACTTCCCACCTCTGAATTTGGTTTTCCCCTGAAGGTCACCTTAAATGTGCAGAAGCATCCTTTGAGCTCCATTAACTTCTCCTAATCACCTGAACACATTGATCCCCATATGCATAGAGGACAGGGTATAACATAAAAGGTCAGACTCAGAGGAGAGGGGAGGAAGTTTAGATGGTGGGGACCAGACCACAGAAGCAGAAATTGGTGCTCTCTGGAAGCCTGAGAAACTTGACTTACCTTCCTCATAATAATAACAATAATGCTAATAAACCTTTAACATATGTATGGGGGCTTGGTTTTCAAAGTATTTTCAGATCCATTATCTCATTCTAGCCTCAGGTAGGGAAGGTGTTATTAAACCCATTTTATAGATAAGAATACTGAGGTCCAAAATGGCGAGAGTGCTAGCAAAATGGCTCCAACTCTTCTCAAGCCCCTGCACTGTTGGTGGAGCAGTGAAAATCTTTGCCTCTCCTTTCTCTTGCTACATCTCTCCTAGCGTCTCTCCACATTCTCCACTCACAATCTTGGCTATCTTGGTCTAGGACAGAGGTGGGGAACCTGTGGCCTTAAGGCCACATGTGGCCTTCTAGGTCCCCCATTCCTGGTCTAGGTGAAAGGCCACACTGTGGGAGCTGCCCTTCTATGCTGCTCATTTCCCCACTGCTGAGGGATAAAGACAAATAAACAACCTGCGTCTTTTCTTTTTCTAGAAGGGGGGAGTTGGTGAAAGGGAGATTTTGCAGCCTTCTGTTCATTTATTCACTGAAATTGCTGTTCAGGATTCCTTCAAACTTCTAGAATCATTGATTTGAAGCAGGGAACAGGAAAGGGTAACGTTAGTATAGGGCATAGGGAAAAGAACCCATCCCTTTTACCTACTCTTCTGTCTTCTTTCTCTTAAATATACTCACTAGTAACATGTTCCCTCCCATGCAAACACTCTGGAAGGTTAATAATATAGAGAGGATTGGATTTCTGGGTGAATAGGACGAGAGACTGGAGAGTTGGCAATGTCTGAGAAATCTTGTGCTGGGGCTGGGGAAGGTGAGAGAGCTGAATTTTGGGGAGCAGGGTTCCTCTTACCTTGTTCAGTTCAGCCTCCTTGGCCAGAAAGGGAGAATAGGGTTGAAGAGATCAGAGGAGTGGAGAAAATAGAAATCCAATAGAGAAACAGCCCATTTGGAAGAGTAGAAGAGGGGAAGTAAAATCATAATATAATTGGGAGGAGCTAGACTCCGGACTAGGAGGGGAGGAACTGTGGTGACATCATTCTGGAAAGCAGAAGGGAGGGCAGGGCCAGAGCTGGGTAAAGGCTTGCGGTTGTGTATTGGGAAGCAGGGACCAGAGAGGATTTCCAGGCTTAGTGCGTCAGGGCCATGGCCAGGCCAAGCTAGTCCTGTTTCCTGTTGGGGAAGCAATGAGACCTTGGGAACCTGAGGCAGACCATGTGGGAAGTGGGAGCAGAAATGGTGGGAACTGAAAATACCCAGGCTTTTGCCAAGCTTGCAAAAAACTCCATTATCTCTGCCAAGAAACCCCCAAACAGGATCATGAAGAATTGGACACGACTGAAAACAACTGAACAATAACGAAAACTAAGGGGGTGGGGGGTGGGTAGGTATGGTGTAAGGTTGGATCATTGCAAGAAAGAAGGAATGAGATTACAGTGAGAAGATTTAGCTGGAGAGGAAAAAAGGACTAGGAATTTGTGGCATTGTTACACGTTTGGATACATTTGCAATACATGTGGCATTTAGAAATCATAGGTATTGTTTTTCAGGTTTGATAATGTCACTGACTTGTGACTTTCTTTTTTTTTTTTTTTGGTGAGGCAATTGGGGTTAAGTGACATGCCTAGAGTCACACAGCTAGTAAGTGTTGTGTGTGAGGCCAAATTTGAACTCAGGTACTCCTGACTTCAGGAACTCCTGACTTCTATCCACTGTGCCACCTAGCTGCCCTGACTTGTGACTTTCAGTGTGGGCCATCTCGCTGATGTGTTAACCACAGTCCCAACTTTCCCTTATACCACTATATACCTTCAACATTATATGATTGTTCTCTAGCTGTTTACTGCTTTACAAACCAATTTAACAAAATGCAAATTATGTAGGAAACATTTCACAGATGAAAATCTCTCTCCCTCTCGTCAAACAGAGAAAAGATTCTTAACCTGGGCTCTGTGAATTTGTTTTTTGTCTTTCCTTCCTTCTTTCCTTCCTTCCTTCCTTCCTTCCTTCCTTCCTTCCTTCCTTCCTTCCTTCCTTCCTTCCTTCCTTCCTTCCTTCCTTCCTTCCTTCCTTCCTTCCTTCCTTCTTTCCTTCCTTCCTTCCTTCCTTCCTTCATTGTATTTTACTATAATGCATTTCCTTTGTAATCCTATATATTTTATTTTAGAAATTGAAAAATATTATTCTGAGAGGAGGTTCATAGGCTTTACCATACTGTCAAAGGGGTTCATGACATACAAAAAGGCTCCATAACTCCTGATATAGATGGATAGCTATATAGATAAATATTGAAGAATGTAATTCCAGAACTTTTAATGATGGAATTATAGTTGAAAGAATATGTTTTGTTTGGGAGAGGGCTGAGGATTCTTGACCCTATGGTGTGTCATGCCCTGGGGTAGCCTAGCTGTGAAGTGGTTGTGACTTTCTGGGACCTCAGGTTAAACATTCACCATCAAAGTTGGGGCTTGGCTATTTAGAGTGATCTCTTCTTTGCATGCAATTGAGGTGCTCACAGAATGAGGAATACCTCTGAGTTGGGATCTCAGGATCCCAGAGGCTTAGCAAGGGATCTGCCTTTCAGACCTTGTCTAGAATCAAGATGGAACACTCATATCAATAACTAAGTCAATGAAAATAATTACTGTATATGTTCATTAGGGTCCTGTTTATCCTTCTGTTGTCAAGGAGGCTGACCACCTCAGAGTCTAGCATTCCAAGAGGATGGCTCCCAGTGTCAGGAGATTATGTTTCAGCCAGCCAAACTCAGTACATAATTCTATTCTTCCTCTCTTCCTGTTACTTCATAACTTCATACCTGGATCTGGATTTTGTTTAAGTCCTTCTGGGTTGTAGATATTGCCCCCTTACTGGATTCTCTCTGATGGACAAGCAGATGAGCATGCTATGAGTATTGGTTGATCTTTTCTGGTTGTGACGAACTGTGGTTCCATATTGACAAGTTTTATGCCTGTGCCCCGTGGTCACAACAGACTCCTCCCAATTACCACACCAATCTGTCAGGTTCCCCTGCCCGACAGGCTCAGTGCTTAGCCCAGCCCCTGAAAAGACACAGGTGAAACAAGAAAATCTATAGAACGATTTTTCAGATCCATTCCAGCTTGAAAAAAAAGTGCATGATTCTCATGATTAACATGAAAGCAAATTATAATAAAACTATATATGAATTTCTACCTATCTTGAATTATGCAGGAGGAATCTAGGCTCAGTTAATGCTTTCTTGTGTTGATTGACAACTGTGATCAAAGTGTAGTGTCTTACTGAAATTAATAGTAGAAGTATAAACATATCTGTTTCATTAAATTACTATTTGTTCATACTTTCTGGAGTCATTATTATTATTATTGTTATTAGTAGTAGTGGTGTAGCTCATATAAGCTCCAAAGGTCCGTATCCCAGTTCCCGCTCTCACTGATGAGTCTTGGGTTCCAGAGCAAGGTTATATTTTCCTCTCAGGATTCTAGGTGTACCCCTAAGAATCAGGGGGTAATTCTCTCATGCTATTGGCTTAAGCCCCCATTGGTATGCTTCCTCCAAAGTTATCAGGGGAGAATCATTTTAGTCAGCTAGCCTTAAGTAGCTTTTAGGAAGAGCTATTTCCTAAAGTAGTACAAAGAGAACCAAAATGTGTGACAAATTCTTCCACTGGTACATACAGAATCCAAGGGAGAGTGGGTTCAATCTTAGAGAAAAGATGTGGCAAAGGGGTAACATAGCTTCTGATTACTGGAAGTTCTCCTTAGGTATGTAGCTTCTTTGCTGGGAATCTTATGTCTATTCTGTTCTAGGTGCCAACTGTGGACACTACCATTAGCTGATCCAGAGACATAGCTAGGACACATGAGAAAAAGCTTTTTGAGAAAAAAGAATGATGATGAACTTGATGAAACTTAATGAAAAGTAGGAAATACTATTCACACCCAAGCTAGTAATCAATTAAGTAAACTCTATGTCTGATGCAGTTTAAAAAAAAAAGGACAATTTCACATCAAAGGACCGGAGTTCTAATTCTGATCAGTTACTACCTGTGTGACCTTATGCATCACTAAGCGCTTTTGGTTTCAGTTTATTCTTCTGTAAAATGAACAGTTGACTCAAAAATCCCTTTCAAACTCAAAAGCTATTACCCCTCATTCAGATAGGCAATTATCTTTCTCAGTTAAATTTTTTTAAAAATCAGGTTAACTATAGTATGTCCTGTATTGAAGGTATTGTTAGCCTAAGTGTTTGCATGAGGACTGAGGGGCTCTTTTTACCTTTTGAGAGAAATGATTATTAATACACAATGATTTGGGGTGATTGAGAGTCCCCCCCCCCCTTACTTTTTCTAAAGTCCTAATGTCATAAGTTCAGTCTCTTGAGGGACATTACTGATAATGAAATAGGATTTAGAACCCACCCAGGTAGGGAAGCCATTGTGCTACTCAGTTTTGGCTGGGGATAAATTCTTTGAATAGATTGCCCAAGGCTGGGGATAACTTAGAAGTAAATGACATAAACAGAGTCATTTGAATAGGATCAGCCCCTCATTGTAATATTCACTCTGTCATTGATTGTTAACCAATCACAGTTGATTGTTACCCTGGGAACACCCCACTTACAATGGGCATATGAGCCAACAGCCCACTGCCATGATGGTCTTTGGTCTAAAAGAGAGATGGCTAACTAGCCATCCTTTTATTAATACACATGTTGGCATTATTAATAAAATGATTAAATTACCTAGAAATTATGTCTCTTGAACTTTTTTAAATGTAGGGGTCTAGATATTCTTATATTCTCAGGGGAAACTCTAGGTGGGGTTGAAATGAACCACATTCTGATGTTCTCAGGAGAAACTTTGAGTAAGGGCACCAGCCAAAGAGAGTAATTTGTGATATATCTGAAAGATTAAATTTAGACACAGAGTCTTGGTTCTGGGCTACAGGGCACACCACTGTGTTGGTGGTGCACGGCCTGAAGTCAGGAAGATTTGAACTCAAATCCAGCCTCAGACACTTACTAGCTGTGTGACCCTGAATAAGTGACTTAACCCTATTTGCCTCAGTTACCTCATCTGTAAAATGGGGGATAATAATAGCATGTCCTTTGCAAGGTTATGTGAAGATAGAATATAATTGTTAAATGCCTAGCCCCATGCCTGGTAGACTATAAATGCTATATTAGCTATTATTATATGTTAGATGCTGTAGGGCATACAGGAGAAGACATCGTCACTACATTGGGAGAACTTATAGTATGATTAGTGAGACAACAATATTAACAACTCACATTTCTACAGACTTTTAACGTCTCCAAAGTACTTTCCTTACTCCAACCCTATGGGGAAAATAGGCCAGCTAGGAGGCTCAGTGGATAGAGAGCCAGGCCTAGAGTCAGGAAGACCTGAGTTCCAATTTGGCTTCAGATACTTACTAGCTGTATGACCCTGGACGAGTCATCTCACCCTATTTGCCTCACTTTCCTCATCTGTAAAATGAGCTGGAGAAGGAAATGGCAAACCACTCTAGTATCTTTGCCAAGAAAATCCCAAATGGGGTCACAAAGAGATGGATGTGACTGACACTACTGAACAAAAACAAAAATGGGGAAAATAGTGCAATAATTATAATTTTTACTTTATAGATGATATACTATTGCCCAGTATTGCCTATTGCCCAGTATTGCCCAGGTAACACAGCTAGTGGGAATTCAAAGTAGGTCTTCTGAGACCAAGTCAAGCCCTCTTATAACTACTAATCCTTGCCTTCAACCCTTCTTTTGGAGCTCTGACTCTGGATGGGTAGACAGGGGATTTCCCAAGCATCAGAGCTGGGAAGCAATCGGCTGCAGTGGCTGCATCTGGAGTTGGGAATCACCAGACTTACCCTTCCCCCTTGCTCAGTGCCCTCCCATGGCTCCTCCTCTAGGGTTGGGCCCTGGCTCTCTGGCTGTGGTGAAAACAGTTTAGTGTTAAGCCCTGCAGATCTAGG